TCGGTTTTCCAGTATCCAAAGCTATCTCAGAGCTTATGAAATATGACAGCCTTTCCCGTCTACAAAAAACCCTACATTTTAATGCAAGTTACTATAATTAAACAAATTCTACAGATAATGAATCCTCTCAAGCTATCATTAGAATTTGCCCTGTTGGGTAACAGCAACAGCTCAGTCCCTGACCTTGATTCATTGATTAACAATCAACAGTTATTCAACACGAGGCGCTCGTGTCCGCAGAACATCTGCATAGCTTTGCACAGTTCTGCACGACAGGACTTACATGTACAAACACACTTGTACAAAGACTAGACTTATATTTTTCCATTCATAACAACAACACAGATGAGCCTGAAGTGTTGCTGAAAGGTTTTAAAGTTTCCTCCAATAAATCGTCCTGTGAATGGGTAGCAGATACAAGATTGCTAAATGCACAAGCCTTGAACCAGTACTGGAGCTAGAATTATCACAGCTATAGAAGTAAGTGCATCAGTAACAAAGAATTGGTTATAATGTCGATCCTACTTTTTGGAACCTCAATATAATTTTCATTCATTAGTATCACAGAGAGAACCTTGCTTTTGATATTTGGGTTTATTCTGTTAGCCAAGCCAGTCAAGAACCTTCACAGTGTAAGAATTAGAAGAAAAAAAAAGTGACCGACATACTGTACTACACACCTTGCATGGCAAGCAATTTGGTGCATGAAGTCCAAAGCACCAAAACCTATACTAATCACCTTGAGCTCATTAATTTACAAAGCTTTGGCCCAACTTTAGCGGCTGGCAGATGATCAAGCTCTTAGTTGATGCAATCCAAACTAATCCACTAAAAGGCATTTAGAAGCCAGCTAGGAAATAAGCATTTTTATATTATTAGAAGTGGTAAAAAGTTTTAATGACACCAGACTCCTCAAGGTGAGGGACACCAGTCTGTCATTTAACTTGCCTTTCCTTTGAACACCTAGCTCCATAGGTGAGGATTTCCCATCTCAAACCCCACCGCCCATCACTGCACCGAGTCACCAGGCTGTTACCTTCCCTCATTCATGTTTCTCCAGTAGGCAAGTGCGTCTTTACGTGCCTTTCCTCTCCCTCCTCCATCCGAAACAACTCTCAGACTCCCTAACTGAATCCAATCAGACTGGACGGAGAGGTAGAGGTCATGAAATGTAATGAGAGCAGATACACACTGAAGACATCCTCCAAGTGCCTCTGCATCTTCTATTAGTACCTTATCAGAAACTTGGGGGGGGAGGGGGCCGGGGAGAAGAGAGTGAAGGAGAAACCATTTAAGTGCCCTGAACATGCAAAAGTTTAAATTGCAGACCACAGCCACCGTAAGACATAAAGCCATAAGAAAGCAGGCTTCATTGACATATGGCTCATTGAAGTACTTGAAGCAATGCACGTGGCTGTCTAGTTTGCTTTCAAAGTAGACATGGGTCATACTCAAAGATTACTTCAACAGTTCCAGAAAGCCACAGGTTTGTTGTCTTTGTAAGTCTGAATGCCAAACTAAACACAGGATCATTCCCAGCTATTTTACAATTGACACATTCTTACTTTTGTTAAGCAGGGTAAAAAGTCTTTGGTTGAACAGTGTTTCCAGCTGCATCTGCTGAGATTTGTGGAACAAAGCAGTTCCACAGAAAAACACCCACTGCAACACAAATCAGCAAGAAAAACATTTTGCAATTTTCTCACTCAAATATCAGCTCTAGGACAAACGTATACTGAGGCAGAAGGTGTCTGAAACCTCTTTTCATCTGGGAAAGAGTTAAGAGCAAGAAAATTAAAATAAGCATTTTAAAAAACATTTTAAAAACACAAAACTCGGTGCTGCATTATATGTTAAAGTACTGTACGAGCTAGCATCTTACAACAAGAAGCTTTCATATCTTCACAGCAGGTTGCCTAATGCTGACAAAATAACTTTTAAGTCTTTTCAGTCCTTAAAGACCAACTAACAAAAAAATATAAATACACTTATCATTCAGCAGAGAGGGGAACTAAAATGAGGACGACAAGGTCACTTAAGCTTTGCCTAGGGTGGGGCAAATCAATAGTTTTCTCACCCCCTCACCCCAACCTTCTTTTATTTGACCTTAGATGCTTTCTCTGTGAAACACTCCAATTATTATTCACCAAATGAACTTGTTTAGAAGCTATGTAAACCTACCCAAAAGTAACGACCATTATTACAATGATACAGGATTCAAGTTAAATATTTACAGTTGGCTCCACACAATAAAATTTTTCCATGCCCTATGCTCACCCTGTTCTCCTTTGCCTGTTCCCCAAACATTACTCAATGTCACTTGCTCTCAGCTCCGTTGCATCCCTGATTAAACACGCTGGCCACCACTCGTGCAAGCCCTTATTATTTCACTTACTGGCATGAAAAGCCTCACTGGGGGCTGGAAGCTCCTTAAGAGAATGAACACATCTAAAGTGATATTAAGAGTTAATATCTGCAAATCGGCATCTGGTTCCTTGGCAGTTTAGCCCCAAATGTTTGTCAGGGGAGACCACTCTAACACCAGTAGGGATTTCTATGAAAGGAAATACATAACCATGACATAAATCACTCTACATACTGTCAGTAGGTTGTCATATAATTTTTTGATTTGCCCCATACTGGTTTATCTTTAGACTGTTACACTAATATAAGAATCCCAGGAAAAGAAACTTCTCTGACTAAACATATAAGAACAAAAAACCCTGAGAATGCTTTTGACAGGTCTTCCTCATCAGCCTCTGCAAAATGAGCAATCTGATAGACATAGCAAAAAAAAACCATGTAAAAATATCTTAAACCCCACTAACTATGTGGACATAAACCATACAGTAATAACAGCATCAGTCAAATTGGACCTGAAAGCCACTAGTAGTGATGTCAAAACCATGAAGATTTCCCTTGTTTATGAAAAATTAGTCTATTTTGTTTACATGTATTTAACCGTACAGAAGTGCCATAAACCCTATGCAATAGCACTCAAGCAATTACCATCTCAAATGGGTATTTATACACGAATCCAATCTAAATCAACTGCATTTGCACATCAAACCATCAAACTGATAATCCACTCTAAAGACACTTTACTGACCTATTACAACAAATTGACTCTTTGCTGTAGCTTAGGGAAGATGGGCTCTCTAAAACAAACATGAATGTCAAGTTCAACTCTGTCACCCCTAACCATGTGCGAGGCGCATACCTAAACCTATCACTGGCCACTGGAATGGATATTGTTTCTGCTTATTGCATTCAAATAAAGCACATGTATTCACCTGAAAGAAAAAAGCCAGATGAAAAGGTTTAAATTATTTGGGATTTTGAAATTAAACTGCTGCTCCTTGAGATTTTGAAATCAAATTGTTGGTTGTTTGAGGTCAGCAAGACTGTGTGATTTCAGTAACAGATGCACAGACTGATATCTGAAGACTTCTAAAAATGTATCAAGTACTTTCATTATGCTAGAGACAAGAGCATGGTTTCTACTCGCATCAATGCTATTTTGAGAACCCGGTTATAGACATATTCTTATTTTTTAGATGTGTCAAAGAAGCCTACAATTACCCAAATTAGCTTAGGAAAGAACATGGAAGTCATTATTCCAAAGTAACATCTACAAAGTAACCTAACTGAATCTACTTTATTTAATTCAAAAATCTAGCATGCCGATACGAAACAACAAATAAACAAAAATCTGATCCAGAAAGCTCAGAACTGGCAAACACTAAGAAATCCAGTAGTTTAAGTGAAGATTATTTTGATTCAATTTCCTTTCTCCTTCCTTCCAACCTTATTTTCTGAAGTCTTTCTTCAGTACTTTTGCCTTGGCTTCCAAGGCACAAATGCAGACACGCATTACTTACATAAAGACGTGCGTCCTGCAGTCCCAGCTGACTGCAGTCCTGGCATGAGGCTTTCGGGCCCCTCCCTCCAACACCAAAATTGAAAAACACTGATTTCAATAACAGTAACGCGACTGCAATTGCATGAAAGAACAACCAGCTGCCATTAGCCCCAACTGCGCCGCCGTATGAATACTGGAAAATACCATGGAATCACGTTGTGCAGTGATTTCAAATAAGAAGCTCTGAGGGCATAAAGGTATGATAATAGCAAAAGGGAACTAGGACTAGAATTAATAATTTCCAACTATTGAAGGAAAAAAAAAAAACCAAACACTTTAACACAGTGGCAGTTTAAGAAAGGTCCTGTGATAAATTACAGGCTAATCATGAAACTCAAGCATGCAAGTTAAGTTTTATTTTCTTAGGAATGTTTAAAAGTGTCCTTGGGCACTTAATACCTATATTTAATAGGCTCTGAACTGGGCAAGGCCATGGGAATGCAGTCTTCAGCATTTCTGGATATAAAATACCAAGAAAATACAATGTTTCCTTGACTTCCAGAATCATTTCCCTCACTGCAATACAAACTGATTTCCAGTACTCCTGGAATACCTGTTCACATATTTTTCTTTTGCACTGCATATGCCTTAGTATAGAAATATACCACTGTCAGTACAAAAATCAAGTAATTTTATGTCCTGCCTAATGCTGAAACATTTATACTAACTTTTCGCCAGCCAACTTCATTCGCTATACAAAGGAGTTATTTGACAGCTAGTCAGTCAACTACATACAAGTCACAATTTGTCTGTACAACAGCTAACGAGATGAAAGGAGATACATACAAAAGCAGTAGGTTGACTGATACAAAGCAATTGCAGACACAATTTGATGACAGAAATTTATGTAATTCTATTAAAGAAATGCAGTTGCATAGGAAAAAACCTAAAGGTCAAATAAAATCCCCAGAATTTAAATATAATGCACAAGGGATTTTATGTACTATATAAACACATAAAAGGAAAAAGACAACAATAAAACATTTACTTATATCTTGCTCCATTCCTCTCATCCCTTCCTATCATATTTAACACAAGCTCCCGCTTAACATAAAATCAGCTCCCTGCAACAGCTTACTTGGAAATACATGACCACGGAAGATATTTTAGATACTCATCCTAAGTACATCCCAGTATTTAATTTCAAGGTTTCCCGGAAGAATTTTCTGAGTATGACAGCAAACCGAACCCCTGGCAGGAGGAACAGCTCCGACTGCGTGCATCTGCAGGAGCTCTTCCAAGAGAGAGCCAGTGTTAACGACATAGCTTGGCGTTATTGTGATCCACATCAACAACAACATTGTGGATTCAGAGCAAATCTCAGCCCGCTACAGCGGGGCAGAACGGCAACTGCGGCTCACGTAGGCGCAAAGCTGCGCAGAGTACAAATGGCAATGCCATCTCACTTTTGGCACGTGCCAGGTGAAAAAAACACTTGAAAATGCACTGCTTTTGTTTTATTTTGCAAATGTGGAAAATTTTAAGCGGTTAACAGTGATATACGATCCATAGTGAAACAGTCCATCCTATCTACGTACGTTTCTTCTGTGAAACCCTCACAGCTTCCACAACAGCAATATAAAAACTGTATTAGAGACAATAAAGTACACGGTACACATAACAAAACAAATAACAGGCACTTACCGAAAACCATGTTTATTGCTGTGAACATATGGTGACTTAGGGATAAGAATTACGTTCTTCTGTGAGTAGGTCACCCCATGCAACAAGGAACACAACAGACATAAGGTCCACTACAACTATTCCAATACTCAACAAAAAAGAAAATCGCAAAGAATTACTAGTTTTATAAGAAGAAAGAAGGCTTTCCAACAAGCAGACAGTCCTGTCATTCAAACTAACCTGTCCTTCCAAAAACCCATGGGATCCAAATTAAAAAAATGCTGAAAGAAACATGACCTACATTTCTGCTAACGTCGCTGTTCTCCAACTATAACATAACAAGTATTGTCCAATGTAAAAATCTATCCAGGACCGCTGATACAGCTTTTGCACTATGTTTCTGCTTACCTTGCTCTACTCTCACTTAGTAAGCACCTTCCTACAAAAAGAAGATACCTATCAGCAATTCAGATGCACTACATTTTATCCAGTGACCACGTCAGCCACCCCAGGGCTGAAAGAGTTTGGATTAAAGGAAAATGGAGCTCATTTTAACTAAATACGTCTTGCTACTTCTAAGTTTCACTGCACCAACTATAAGGCTTATCAATACCTACTTCCAATCTTTTCTACAAAGTTCACCACAGTCCAACCTCTGCTCTTGTATCGTTTGACCTCTGTGAGTTGTTCTGCTGCTTCCATCACATCAATTTGACAGAAACTACAGGCAATGTGGGGGCCAGGAAAAGGGCAGGGCGGGGAAAATCATAGCTTACTCGTGGTCAGGTTCATGCACGGCTATACAGCAAAGCCTTGAAGAAAGTACAGCAATTATTTCAGCATTCTTAAACTGTCTGTTCGTCTTCCTGATCAAGTCACTTTCTAACTGCATTTGGAAGCCAGGACAAATCCCAGGAATTCAGAGTTGGTTTTCCATTTGAAAACCCCAATCCTACTCACAAAGCAGGAACTGCAAATAATGTATTCTATTTTCAAACCAAATTGTAACTTATACTTTGCCTTTTATGGCAGAGAGTTTGAGGAAGTCAGATTCAAGATCTGACATGAATACCACATAATTAAACACATGGATCACTAACATATAAATAAAGTTTTATATTTACAGCAAACACATCTTCTATTTTAGTAAGAGAGAGATGACTCTTCAAATGCTTTTATGTAAGCACTGCCCTAAAAATCCAGTGGAAACCAAAGGGTCAAATTCCTTCTCCACTGGCACTTCACAGGGCCCTACAGGAACCAACAGGGTTAGACCAGAGGACAAACCCTATTAAAAGCATGTCCGTGGTGCTTGCATAACTAATCAGCTGAGTGTTTGGAATCATTTTATCTGAGCAGTACTAATGAGCTAAATCTCTGTTATTATTGCTGTGATCATCCACCCGTAAGTACCTTACCACTGCTTTGTTTTTACTTTGTTCAACACCAAAGCGAGCGCAGATCTAATGAAGCAACCTAGCTGTGACACCTCTCCATCAACACATTGAGCGCATGTACGTATATAGCTTACCACAGCAGAAATATCTACATTTTCATCCCGTTGCCCTTCCTTAAGCTTGTACTTGCTACACAGCGGCCAGCACCATTATGTTTGCACGCTAGAAAACCAAATACGCGAGTCTGAAATCCTTGCAGCTCCGCAGCCATGAAAGGGGAGCAGTAAGCGGGAGCAAATCTGACCTCCTGACACCACACCATGACAGCAACTGTAAGCTCTCCTACAATCTAGATATTCCTACTGCTGCGCAAAACACGATTTCTACAGCAATGGAAGTTATAAATTTTAACAAAGATAGTTGTAACGGTACTGTAATGACAATATTTGGGATCTTCACCAAGTGCACATTAGGGTCTTTGTCATTTACTGTTAATTTCAATAGAACAAGGTTTTTGAGGCTACATAACCAGTTTTTAAAGAAAATACAAATATTGTGCCCGTTCTGCCCATTGGTAGCCCATGACCCATGCTCTAGCTTAGCTTTATAATGCAACTCTTATGGACAAAAAAGCCTAACCATGGAGTTTCTGCCAGACTCACACTTCTAATGCTGTAAAAAAAAAAAAAAAAAAAGCAATGAACGTGTGCCTATTATATTAGGCATGACGATATTCGTGCAAAGAGTCCCAGAATTAGTATAGCTTTTCATACCTATTAATAGCCATTCCTAAGAAAATGCCTGCAAGATATAAAAGAAATAACACGGGCATTTGAATGAATTCTATAGCTTGCCTATTATAGTGGCAAGCTGCATAATTTAGCGCTTTCCATCCCGTTACTTATAGTACATAATTATCATTAAGAAACTGTCAATATTTCCTCAGAGGAGAGCATATTTGAGCAGAAAAGGGAACATACAGTGGTTGTAATTGGGAAGAAAGTATTTCTCTGATAAACTAATTTAATTTTTTTTTAGATAGTGATACCTTTTTAAGAGTGAAAGAGTAGGAATTGTTTTTTCCCCCCATCAGGGAGGTGGTTCTCTTTTGCAGACTATTAATATAATGATTTCATTTGCTCTTACTTTGAAAATAAATTTGTGAAAAGCTACATTTGCATAAATAGACACATGACATTACACACACAGCTGCCTGCCTAGCATGCTTGCAAAATTTAAACAGCCGCCGTCGAGAGCACAACAGTAAGCGTCAGCGCACAACTGCATGCCTGCGCACGCAATTACCCAACCGGCCCTTGTTTGCAATGAACGCACAGGCAAATCAGTCATGCAATGGCACACGCGGTTTGTGCGCGCAATGGCACGGGTTGAACTGTCAGTCTCGGGAAGCAGACCACCGAGAGCGGACCGTCGCGCTCCTCGAGCAGGGCGGCCCTGCGCGCCCGCGGGACGCTCGCTCC